GTTCGAAAAATTCAAAGGTACGAATTGTGAGCTATCAACTGCCATGAAGTCAGTGGGAGAGGTAATGTCAATAGGTCGCACTTTTAATGAATCATTGCAGAAAGCTTTACGTTCCCTTGAAACCGGACTAACAGGACTGGATGAGGTGTTTCCTAAAGACACTGATATTGACTATATAAAATCTCAGCTAGCTAAATTACTACCCAACAGACTGCTAATTGTTGCTGATGCTATGCGCTTTGGAGTTAGCATCGAAGAAATCAATTCTATTACTGGCTATGATTTTTGGTTTCTATACAACATAAAGCAAATTATCTTAGCTGAGCAAAAAATTAAAGAAGGTGGATTACCTGAAACTGCACATGAAATACTACAGCTAAAAAAAATGGGTTTCTCGGACGCAAGATTGGCTAAGCTGTCACGTACTGAAATGACGTCAGAGCAGATAGAAAGTATCAGAAAAAAATTCGATATTAAACAGGTCTATAAGCGTGTTGATACTTGTGCCGCTGAATTTGAATCTAGTACTGCTTACATGTATGGCTGTTATGAAGGTGATGTTGTAAATAAAACTGAGTGCGAAGCAAGTGTCTCTAATCGCAATAAAGTTGTAATTTTAGGTAGTGGACCAAATCGCATTGGCCAAGGCATTGAGTTTGATTATGCATGTGTGCATGCAGTCTCTGCAGCTAAAGAAATGGGATTTGAGACAATAATGATCAATTGTAACCCAGAAACTGTTTCAACCGATTATGATACCGCTGACCGTTTATATTTTGCACCTTTAGTTGCAGAGGATGTGCTGGAAATATTGGAAAAAGAGCAAGAAAATGGCCTGTTGGTAGGAATAATAGTTCAAATTGGTGGCCAAACACCTTTGAAGTTAGCAAAAGTGCTTAATGAGAGAGGTTTCAAAATCNAAATTCTATCTGCCACTCAGTTGAAGAAGCTTTCAGCTGCATAGAAAAAGTCGAGTTTCCATTGTTAGTAAGACCATCTTACGTTTTAGGTGGCCAGTCTATGTCAATAAAATACAATATTGAGAGCTTTAAAGAGTATGTTTTAAATCAAACTAAGATTTTCGAACATGGTCCATTGTTGATTGATAGGTTTTTAGTTAATGCAGTTGAAGTTGATGTTGATGCAGTATGTGATGGAGAAAATGTTTTCATTGCAGCTATTATGGAACACATAGAAGAAGCTGGTATTCATTCAGGTGACTCAACATGTTCAATGCCAACAAATACATTAGATAATGAGATAATTAAAGAAATTAAATCACAAACCACAAAAATAGCCCGTGCATTAAGAGTTATAGGTTTGATGAATATTCAGTTCGCTGTTCAGGAAAATAATATATATGTACTTGAAGTAAACCTAAGAGCTAG